GTGCGCTCTGTTGCTTGTGCAAATTTTACGTCTAGTAAAAGCACGTATACTCACGCAGGAGGAACGCAGTTTACGGAGTGACGACGAGTAAGTAATAGTGCGAATTTGCATTGTAAAACTTTGTCGCAATGCCACTGTTGGATGTATGGTAACGTTTGAGTGTAAGCGGTGGACACTCGCACAACTTAAACAATTCAACCCATACTCACCAAAAAAAGTATTGCGTTAGCAATTCCGCTCGCATGTACTGCCGTTTTAGATAAGGTTTGCCAAAACAATAGAGCGAAGCGGTTGTTTTGCATTGCAAACCCTTAAACGGCAATACAATTTAAAAAAAATCGTTTCACTTTTGGAAATGTCAAATTAGCGTTGTATCTTTGCAATATGAAAGATAAAATAGACGATAGATGGATTCCCACTTTTATTCTGCTTATCCTCTGTGCACTGTGGTGTGCATCTTGCAGTGTATATACTTCAGGTAGCACACACAACAGTAATTGTGTGAACACTTACGATAGTACCAAAGTTTACTATCTCAATCCGCAAAAATAATGTATGTAATTACATATATAGACCGTTACGGTGTTCGTTATTCATACTCTACGTATGATGTCTGTATGGCTCGTAAAACTGTTCGTTATGCACGTGATATTGAGCACGCTATTAAGATTGTTGTCCGTTTGGATGGCGAATTAATCTACGTCTACAATGAAACGAGTAAATACCAATCCTGAAAACAGTCATAACGGCTGTAAGCATATGCGTCGTATTTGGGTAAATCTCCCAAATACAGATAAGCGTGTTGCGACATATAACCCTGACTGCGATGGTGTACACGAAACTCCGTTTGGAGATGCCGATGCATATAAATACCGTATGCGTTACGTGAATACTCGCAAAGAGGAAATGTTCGTCCCTTGCGGTCACTGCGTAGACTGTAAAAGGCAAAAGTCAAACGAGTGGAATGCACGTTTGCAGTATGAATGGAATGCCTTTGTTGAAGATAAAGAAAATAATCCTAACCCTAAAAGACTATTTGTTACGCTGACGTTTGACGATGTCAGCAAAATACCACACGTTGACGGTACTCAGGAGAACGAGCGCAAGGCATATGTCTATGTCCAATCGTTCCTTAAGCGTCTGCGGAATAACCCTTACTTTGCTATAAAATTCCGCTATTTTTGTGTAGGCGAGTTCGGTAGTGAAAATAATCGTCTACATTTTCATCTGTTGTTGTTCATTTCCGACGCTTCTTCTCTTCCTGACTATATTACTGCGTCTTCGCTTTCTCCTGAACGTCAGCGTTTCTATGACTCTTTTATGAACGGTGATACAAATCGCAAACAGTTGGATATACATCGTTATCTTGCCAAGAAAGATGGTGTAAAATCTGAGTGGCGGTATACCACAGGAGTTGAAAGTACTCTTTCATTCCTTTTTAAGAATTTCCTTTGGTATGAAGGTGGTCAGGAGTACCGCGATACATTAAGTGCCTTTACAAAAGGTCTTAACGTAGGTACGGAAGAATATGCCATTGCGGTTGAATCTGCAAAGGCTCAATTATCTCTTGGTTTCGTGCAGTGTATGGAAGTACGTGGCGATTCCATAAACGGCTATGTTACCAAATATCTTACCAAATCAAACGATAATGAGCCTATTGAATTTGAGTCGTTTCACAGACAGTCTGCAAGACTTGGCGAAGCTTATTTCTGTACGCGTTACTTTGAGCCTATACGAAAGGCTAATAGAATCCCTGACACTATTGGAGAATTAAATCCCTTTGCGTTGGAAGAAAGGTTTAACGACCCTATTACACATAAGGATGCGGTTCTTCTTATGTCCGATATTTTCTATACTGTGCCAAAAGTTCTTCATATAGATGCCAAAGGCAAAGAAAAGTATCCCGTAAAGTGCCCTCGTTGGTGGTATCGTAAGTATTCTAATAGGACTGCACGTATTATGGAATTCAATGAGATTTCACATAATCTTTTCCTTAAAACTCTTTCTGACCATAGCCAAAAGTATACACGTGAAGATGCTTATAATGATAGGCTTAAGGTCATTAAGGCTAGAAATGAATGGTTAAACGGCATACCTGAAAATGTCGAGTTTGATAATACAATAGATTAATGGAAAACAAAATTAAACCTAGTGACATAACATTCGTTGCTAGTGATGTTCTATCTACGGCTGGAAAGTGCCTTGTTGAAGACAATGAAAAATTTACTGTAAAATGTGCGCTTCAAATGGTTGCCATTGCGTGTGCTGATTTCTTTAAACTCCTTGACTAGTATGGAAAAGATTATTACTACAATTACTGATTCTCTTAAGACTCTTATAGATGAATTTCCAAAGTATGATGGTAATCCCGCACTTCAGCGTAGTTTGATTAACGCTAATACTCTTATGTGTTGTGCCGTTGATTATCTCCGTATGTTTGAATCGCTTAAACCAAAATTTGATGTTCATCCAAAGGAGTCTGTAACGCTTCCTAAAAAGTCAAAGCAAATTGCTCTTTAATTTATATACTTATCCTTTCTTAAACTATGAAATTTTCAAATCCTTTTGACCGTAGGAAGAATGTAGATTCCGTTCCTTATTCGGTCTTTCCCGCTTCCAAGCGTGTCCGCACTTCTATGCAAATAGGACGTGCCGTTCCGGTTTATACCATTGATATGGTTCAGGGTAATCACATCAAACTCTCTGCTTCCGATGCGGTTCGTTTTATGACAATGAATCGTCCTGTAATGAATGATTTTGAGGTTACTTTCGGTGCGTATTTTGTTCCATATGTTGCTCTTGACGAACTTACACGCAGTTCTGTTTGTCTTCGTGACTTTCCTGAACTTGCTCCAATTGCAGTTGAGCACGGTCTTAACGCACGTGAGTTCTTTAATCCCGCTACTCCTGATAGTAAGCGTGTTCACCCTATTTCGCTTCCTTTTTCCGCCATTTCAAACGTTGCTAAATCAGGTTGTCTTTATGAGCATCTTGGCTACTCAATAATGGCAGATGTCCAACTTGCGGGCAAAATGGAAACATACTCTGAAGCAGGTTCAACTTCATTTAAAATTGTTTCTGACCTTTTCAAGTTCGGTGTAAAAGTTAGTGGTACTTCGCTTGCAAATGTCTTTACCTACGTTAAACCTATGCTTAATTATGGTTCTGCGTCTGTAAAACTTATGCCTTTTGATGTTTGGGTACTTAAAAATGGTTCTTTTGGTCCTGACTTTGATTCTATACCTACTGTTCTTACCGGTTCAACTACTACGTATGCATCCTATATTAATGGTATTACAAACGGTCTTCTTGCAGTAGAAACTGTTCATACTTGGTTGTCAGGTTCTGTTGATGCCCCTATTTCTCCAAATTGGAAGACGTTAGACGCTTGTTTTGCGGGTTATCGTGATTATCTTATTACTGAATGTCGTAAAACATTTGGTGGCTCATTTACGGCTAACGTAACTCGTTGGCTTGCTTATCAGCGTATTTATGCAGATTATTTCCTGAATGACCTTTATGTAGAGCACGACAATTATATTGCTCTTATTGCACAGGCTTATTTGCGTATGGTTGAAACGCCTGGACAGACCGTTTTTGATGTTTTTGACAATATTTACCCATCAAGTGAACTTATTTTCTTTAAGCCTTATCTTCAGTACGGTGAATGTATGCCGGTCCGTTGGGCACTTGACCCTATTACTGCACTTCAGCGTGTTGAGGCTTCAGGCGGTAACGTTACTATTTCTAGCGGTGATTCTATCCCTACACTTTTCTATAAGCGTATGTTGCAAAAGTTCCGTGACCTTGTAGCACGTATGGGTATGGATTATAAAGACAATACTTTTGCTCTGTATGGTTCTCGCGTTCCTGATTCAACACTTCAGCGTTCTCAGTGTATTGGTCTGAAGTCATTTGATGTTAAAATTTCCGCTATCGCTCAGACAGGTGCAGATACTTCTACGGGTAACACAGGCGATTTTGCGGGTGTTGGTTATACTGCAGGTAGCACTGATTCGTGGGAATGGACTGCTGAGGAGAATGGTCTTATTATGGTACTTTGTTGGATACGCCCTAAAGATATTGCCTATTGTGGAATTGTTGATAGGTCTATCCTTAAGTCGCAGTATACTGACTATCTTCTTCCGCAGTTCGGTGGTGTTGGCTATCAGGATGTTCCACTTCGTCAGTTATCTCCATCTGCTCCCGCTTCATTTGCTTCTAATGTTGTCGGTATTCAGGAACGTTATTTTGAATACATGATGATGAATAACGAGGTTAGTGGTGCTTTTCTAAATATTGCACGTCCTTATACTGTAGACCGTGCGGTCACTACTGATTGGCGTATGCTTTATTCTTCATCAAATCAAAAGCCATTCTATATTACTGAAAACGATGATATTAACCATATTTTCAGTGATACTGTAAACGACCCTGTTCTTGTAGATATTAAATTTATTGGTACAGTTACTCGTCAGTTACCTGCCTATATGCGTACCGATTTTTAGTTTTCCTTTCTAGGGGTGCTTTTGCGCCCCTAGAATTCATTTATAACTCTTTAATGTCTTAATATATGTATTGTAAGTTTCATTCCGAAATTAAGCCTATTATTATAGATTCTTCTTCGCAAACGCGAGAGTGTATTGACTTTAAGGAAGAAATTGAAATGATTATTAACGGTAAGGAAACAGAGAACCTTTCAAATGCAAATGACAATTATCAGTGTCAGTCAGGTGAAAACGTTGCTGATGTTATAGACGAGCCTCTAGGTTTTACTATTATCTCGCGTATGGAATATTCTGTTCCAAACAGTGGGAATCCTCTTGGCTTTAGGCATCTTGCTGAAAGGCTTGGTATCAGTGAGGATGGAAGTCCAATTTCAAATGACGTTGGCGGTGCTAACTAGACACCGTTACCTTATAGACTAGATATATTAACGGTAACTGACAAGTCATTGACTTTCAGCCCGTTACAACCGCTTTTTTAAATTTTTTAAGAATATGCCTCCTGAACTTATTGGCGCAGTTATCACTGCGGGTGCTAGTATGGCTAATTCTGCCATAAACGCATCTAGTACTAAACAAAATAATGAAATGTATCGTCGTTGGCAGTTGGAAGACCGTCAGCACGATGAATATTATAACAGTCCCGCACATCAAAAGGCTATGCTAGAAAGTGCGGGTCTTGCTCCCTCTCAATATATGGATAGTCCCGTGGCAACTACTTCAAATACTGTTGCACCTGAAGCACCACAATTTGCAGACCCTATTGCGCCCGCAGTAGATACTTATTTCCGTGCCACTGACCTTGAAGCAAATAATAAACTTCGTGAAGCGGAAATTGGTAAAATTATTGCGGAAACAAAGTCTGAAAACGATAAGCGTGCTCTTGAAGTTGCAAAATTACAGAATGAACTTGTTCTTCAGGGTCAGGAAATTGCCTTGAAGTCTATCGGAATAGATTCTCAGGAACTTCAGTTGAGTATTGCCAAACAGACAGCGCACTATGTTGTGGAAGTTGCTCGCCTTAATGCAGAACTTGAATCTGCAACTTTTGAAGATAAGGTTAGTCAGTCGCATAATGCTACACTTCTCAGTAATCTCAATATTCAGGATATGTCCTATGAGATTGCGGGTAAAAAGTTTTCCGTTGAGCATCTTCTTCCAAAACAGTCCGATATGCTTGACTCTGCTTTACGTGAATACGATGATAAGCACGAAATCAGTATGAAGACGTGTCAGGAAATGGATGACGCGCACGCATATGCTCTTTTGCAGTTGGATATTGCCAAAACTGATGCGTTCCGTTCTTCTAAGGAGTATGAAGTACTTCAGGAAAAGGAAGAACGTTTTAAGAAAACTATACGCAATCAGGTAGAATCCGACCTTTCAAACAGTCGCTTTGGTCGTTTCAATTCTTCTGCCGTTGGTCGTGGTGCTAACAACGTGAAGACTGCTCTTCAAAATGCTGAGAAAGGTCTTCTTACTATGTGTACTGCACGTATGTTCGCGGGCATCGGCAACAATAAAACAGATTGGTCAAAGTCTTATCTAAATCCATTTAATCCCGC